CCCCTGTGCTTTTCCTACCGAAAGTGCCCGTGTTGTGGGGGGGGGGGGGGGGGGGTGCTCGCAGTGACCGCAGATGGTGCCGAAAGCAACAGCAGAATTGTAGAAACGTCACCAGCACACCAGTCCTTTTAGGATAGCAAAAGCTTAATGTATTGAAGTTCTTTGTCATCTGCAATTCCCTTTTTTAAGGGGCACCTAGAAGCCCCCCCTTGTGAATGAGCGGAGCGAGTTGTAGTGTCATGACTCGCTCCACCCATTTGTTTACATTCGGCCCAGACTTGACAATTTGCGACGGGAGTTTGGTGGTAGTGGAGGGGTCGGCAGGTGGCTGGGCTTTTTTGATTTTGGCAAGTCGGTGGGCGTCATTCAGCGTGATTAACAAAGATCTACATTGCTGAATGATGTGATTGACTTCTAGATTGGATCATTGGAGCTTTTTTTCTTTATTTTAAATAAAGGACTTGCCAAAAAATGACTTTTGTTTTTCGTTCAATTAAAGGAATTTTCAAGGTGTTGTGTTTTTATTACTTTTTTTGTGGACGTTTTGGTGAATGAGTTGGGGTACCAATTCCCCTTACTCATTCACAATGGGGGGGCAGCATCTGGGTCCCCCTTTGTGAAAGGGGGGACCCAGATGCAGATGAGTCCCCCTGCCTGCAGACCCCCACAACCACCGGGCCAGGGTTGTGGGGAAGAAGCCCTTGTCCTCATCGGCATGGGGACAAGGTGCTTTTCCAGGGGGTCCGCCCCCTGGAAAACACCCTCCCAATGTTGAGAGCATGTGGCCTAGTATGGTGCATGGAGGGGGGCGCTCGCTTGTCCCCCCCTTTCCTGCCCTGCCAGGCCACTGCTCGGATCAAGGGTGTGGTATGGGATTTTAGGGGGGACCCCATGCTTTTTTTTCGATTTTTTTCTGATCCAGATATTGCATCAGCTGAGGCGAACAGGTTCTTCTCTTCGGTACAGCCGAAAGTACTGAAGCTGTTCGGCCGAACCGAAGGTAGGTGAATAGGGCCAAATGCAGCCAATTTGCCGCTAAAAATATCCATACACAGCTGCAGTGAATAGCAGAAGAGGCTTCGGCTCCCTTCACTTCGGTTCGGCTATTCATTAGGTTGCCTTTGGCAGCCTGGTGAATAACCCCTTAGTCTGCGCTATACATACACTTTAAACATGCATAACCTAATTTCAACCTAAACAGCTACACAAATGGATATTTTAAACACATTAATATATACCTGGCATATAAGTAATTGGAAGAAAAACCTAGCATTAAAATAGATTCTTACTTCAAACCATAAATCTTCTAAGTTTACAGGATGAAAGCGACACATAATAAACTCTAAGTATTATAAAATATACTTTGGGTACATGCATCACTCCAGCTGTCCAATCAGAAGTGTCATATAAACGTGTACATATTACAAAATGAATCTAATATAATAATTAAATACAGTGATAAGTGATATTGTGCTCACACCCTTTCCCAGATGCATTAAAAATATAACCATATAAAATAAACATTATACAAACAAAAATATAGACTGAAGTTATAGTAATTGAGTGTGTACCTACAGCATAGGTATGCATACTATAGGTATGGAAACAGAATCTGAAGGTGTCTTCTTATGTTATAAACATGTTAAAAATACCTTTCACTAGCAGTTTTATTAGCTCCTAAACATCCTTATAACCTATAGAACCGAGTGCTACATTTTAATTGTGACCCGCAATGGTCTAGTGGTTAGCCCTGATCCTTACGTCAGTGGATTCTCGGTGCAGATAAGTATGAGGTATAAGTGCTACTTCCTGTGCTTTTATAGGATCTCTCTGAAAGCTCCAATGATCTAATGAGACTATAAGCTTCAAAATAGCAGCTGACTGATTTAAATGTGCCCTGTAAATTAGTGGTGATTAAAACTGAACTCCGGGCTAAACACATATTATCTAAGTACAAGAGTCTTGTGTATTCTTACTTCTTGGTGCACTTTTGTGTATTGCTTCCAGATCTGTACAGTAATCCAGCATTAAACACCTCCTGAGCCTTGTCTCTGTCTCGGTTATTGCTGCTCTCTCTCCTTGTTTAGAGTGGCTGGTCTTGTATCCGCCCCTCCTTTATTTTTCTGCAGGAAGCCTGTGGAGGTGGACCTGTTGGGTCCCACCCACAGTTCCGCTGTCTGCACAGGCTATGTGCAGAACAGAAATGAGGCCAACACTACTTCTATAAGGTTTTGTATGGGTTTGCAAAAGCATTTGGTGCACACAAAATGTAGCTATATTCAATGTGGCTATTGAGGATTGAGAATTTTCTGACCTGGAGTTGAGCTTCATCAATTATTTCCTATATATGGATTTCTGACTACTGATAGATGTTGAATTCTTTAACATTTAAATGACCTCTACTCCAATTTTAAGGTCATTTTTATTTATTTTTTTTCCTCATAGATAACAAACAGCACATGTGTTACAGAAACAGACAAAAGCTTGGATGACCATGCACGACAAGTGAACCTTGTTGTAAAGACAAAGCGTGAGACAATCACAGAAGTGTGAGGTAAAGGTAAAAGTTTCTTCAGTTTGGCATACAGCCATCTCATGCGAGGTCAGTATGTTGGAATGACTCATACCTCTTCCTGTCCCTGCCAATTGCACCCAGTCTGTTTGACTGCGGGTTAAAGTACCTATACGCCAAGGTGTATTGAAGTGTTGAGCTGGTAAATGGCTCTGCACTTACTTTGGGACTGCCAATCTTGCTTTTTCCTGCCTTGCCTTTGGAACGCCAGGCATCCTCGTGGTCAAATTCCAGGTCTTCCAGCCTCTGCGTAAGGGCCAGCTTTTGCTGGATTGCCATCCGTAACAGAGAGTTTAGGGTCTTCTTCTCATCCTCAGCGGCCGCTAGCTGCCTCTGCATCTCGTCCAGTTGTGTCACATACTCGTCACACCTTGTCAAGCAAGAGAAGTGAAAAAATTGTTAATGTTTTCCTTGCACAATCCTAATGGAAATCGACTAATCGTATTGTAAATGTTAGACAAATAAGTAGGCTGCAAAGTCTGCCTAACGGTAGTGTGGTGGCACGTTGTGTGCTATGGTGCCTCCTGCTGGTTCCTACATTCTGTAAAGACATAGGAGCCATTGAGCGGAACCCCAGTGCTCAAGCAGGGAGCAGGTATTCAACACACCTGGAAGTGCCTGATACCTGGAAATCGTCAAAGTGGTGGAGTTTTATGACACAGGAAAGGTAAGTGTTTACCATCTATGTTGGATGGGCTAAGTATAATTTTTTCAACTGGCAGGGTCACATTAAAGAGTATGTTCAGAATTTATTTATTTTTAGCTTTGGACAAAGAGGGGAAGAATTAGAACCTGTGCCAGATTTTTAGTGACCTCCAACAGTCTGTAACATTATCCCTCATTTTCTGTACTTGTGACAAGGTTTCATCAGACAAACAAACTAAAGTGGACTTTTTAGTTACCACGATAAAACATCATAATTTATATATAATTTATACATATATAAAAAAATCTTTGTTTTATTTATATTCATACTAAAACCAATTATCTATTACAATTAGCCTCAAATTATATCAGCAACATCCAATCCCTATCTATCATCTTATTCTATCTCATATATTGATCCATGTAAGTTCAAATCCATTATCATCACATGATCAAATTTTTTTTTTGTAACAATACGTCTTTATTAAGGTTTTTTTGCATATGATAAGACAGGATTGCATATAAATAATACGGTTTACAGGTCACATAGTGCCAATGGCGCAAGTATACAAAGCAATCGGTAGTATTACAAACGGTGTAGTATAGTGGTATGTATGTAGAACTACACATTGCATACATTTGATAACAACAGTAAATGGCCTATGTTTAGTGATAGTGCTACTCAGCGCAGAACCAGGAGATGGTGTCGTTAAACCTTCTTTGTCAAAAAGTAGGTTTGCATCTTAATGGAATGATAGGAAAGGAGGTATGGATGGGGAATGACATACGAACATGTGGGATGAATGGGGAAAGGAGAGGAGACCTAAAACAGGTTTGGATGCATTGAGATGGGATAAGGTATGTTGTAGGTGTATCGTTCATCGTCTAATATGAGCCACTCTAGTTCAGGTATATGCTACAGATTTATGTGTGGGGTTCCAATCCAAAAGTGCCAATATAGGATTAGGATAGGACATAGTATTGACCATTAGTTAGGCTGTTTGGGGACAGTTAATATTTTAGGAGCAGTTGTGTAGTACATCGGTTGTCATTCATCCAGCAATCTCATTCCCTTAGGAATTTATGATCTTTTCGATGTGCTCTAGCAAAAAGATATTCATCACAAGATCACATTGTTACTACATAGGCGACAGGATGGAGTTCTCTGTGTGTTTTTCAGATGACAGGAGTAGAAATGAGGCATATTTTGACATATACAGTGCAAAAACAGAAACTGCTAGAACGTGACATTTATCATTTCCCCTGTGTGACTGCAAGGACATAGAAAAAAAGGGGACAAACACCATGGATCTGAGCATTTCTTATATGGACTGCCAATGGGACCACTAATTCCCTAAAATAGATGAGTGCTATACTTGTTATATTTTCTTATTTGTAGTCAGAACCCCACCAGGCTGCATGGGGAGACCCCGGCATTCTCCACCCCCGTAAACTAGCTATATCAGGCAATATTGGCACCCATTGGGGATTTGTGCTTGCTCATATGACCTCTTCTGTGGTTCTCATCAAAGGCTGATGTATATGTGATGTGAGTGTTTCCATTGTTGGGTTTTTAGCTGCGTTGGACCATAATTCCCTCCCTCCTCCTGAAGAAACTGTCTATGCGAAACGCATTGAGGACTGTTGCCATTACAGCACTGACAAGCTATGGATTATCTGTATTACATTTAAGTCTGAGGTTTGGATGTAAAGTTATGTGCATTTGTTGATGTATTTGTACAATGCATATGGTACATGTGGGAGGTTCTAGCCACTTCTACAAATAGGTGTTTTTTATGTGGTATTAATGAAGATAAATAAGCTACGTTTTTATGGTATAATGATATTGGCTCTTGGTGGTAACACTAAAACCCCTATGAATTAACTTGTTTTATTAGCTTATAGTCAGTTAATTCATCCATCCTCCTCCTCCCTTGGCCTTACTTGGACCCTGGACTGCATTTGGCACACTTTCCTTCCCCAATCAAGCACCCGTTAAGATTTTACACATAACAGAACTGTTCAACAGGTTCACTGCTGCTGGGGTGGCAGGTTATGTGGGATTCAGCAAGAGGAACCAGTGAGATCTGCGGAGGACCCAGGAGATGGAGGTGAAATAAAGTTTTAAAGAGGTAGTTTTTAAATTAATCTCCATTGAAAATGTAATTTCGCTATAGGTGAACCTGTTGCATTGGCAAAGCACATGTTCACTCTAAGAATTTAATATGTTTCTTCCTTTTTGGTTGGGTGTCAGGATAACCCCAATCAAAGCTGCATACTCTGGGTTTGGGGCAAAGTGAAAGTGCTTTGGATAGAATCGTGAAAGGATTAGAACCGCTCTCCAGAGAGAATTTCCCTCTTTGTCCTGCTGATAATGTTTCACCACACTGAAAAAATCTGCAGCAGGGACACACGTCTGGTAAAAAAACTTTGACTGAACCTGAGTCTTTAGAAAGCAGAAGTTTTACTTTAATGCTCAGTTTCTGTGCTCCTGTAATCTCTTTAGAGCTAATGAAGTGATCAGATTTATAGCTCTAATTTGCCTTAATATGTATAGTACCTTATTATTTGCTTGTCAAACTTCTATAATTTAAAAGCAGATAGTTTTTCAATGACATTATACTATTTTAGACAAAGTGTTCAATTCTGATCTTACAAGAATTACTATAAACCTGACTATCAACCTTCTGAAAATGCCAGTTACCTGGCTGTCAAGCTGGCCCTATTCAGAACAAATCTGAAGAACCAGCTTTGCTCTGAGTTTCATTTGCTGCATGCTTATTGTGGCTCAGTGACTCTTGATTAGCATTGTAGCCAGACAAGCAGCATCCCCAGAAGGAGAGAAGCTGCGGCAGCCCCCATACTTCTCTATTAACAGTATAAGACACACACTGGTTCAGCTGTGCAGCCATACTTCTAGATGTTTGCACAGCAGCACAGAGTTGGTTGGACCATTAATTTGACTGAGATGAAGTGATCTAATTTAAATGCATTGATTTTTGGCCAAGAAGTATTTGGCTGGCACAGGCTGCAGGAGAAAACAGGAAAATCTACAGACAGCAGAGAGCTGAATCCGATAAACTGCATTGAAGGAGTTATTAGATCTAAGAAGAGTCAATTACAGGTAGAGGACAGAGACCAAATTACAGCAGAACTTAAAGTGCCACTAAACTCAAGAATTAAATCTTACAAAATTCATTCAAGTACCTTAACTATTAACAAACATGTATCTTATTTGTGTATCACTCAGCTGTAGATCCTCAAATCATCTCTGAATTGGTGCTGACACTGTCCTTCCTTCTGGAGGGGGGATACTTTTGTTCTCCATGGTCCCTGTGTGTGTTGTAGAGTAGTCACCGCTCCAAGCTCACTTCCCTGATGGACTACAATCTCAATACAAATTAGTAAACTGATCATGAGATTGTAGTCCATTACGAAAGCAAGCTTGGAGCGGTAGCTACTTTAGAACACACACAGGGAATTTTGAACAGATTGGAGAGTCGGATAGCACCTCTGTTCAGTTTTAATCTGCAGTGTATGTCTCCATTGGGGAGGTTTTACTTTCACTTCCTGTTCAACCGGGACACAGATATTAACACAAAATTTGTAGTAAATTGGGGAAAGGTTAAACCTTTGTCAAGTTAATAAAACTGTCTGTTTTTCGATCCCGGTGATACGCACTGTCCTCATTTCTTGTCTTGCCTTCACAGTAACAGGAAGTGAGGTGACTCCTCCCTAACAGGGTCATAGGTAATGGTCAGCAATTAAAACCTGACAAATGCATTTACTCTTCTCAGTTCTATCCAAAACAAAAAAAGGTTTTGATTCTGGATTTTAAATCACATGGCCCTTTTACTGGGAGCAGTTTGGTCAAAGCACAATAAGGCTGATTGCTCTACCTGTGGTTTCCAGGTACCCTTTTCATTAGGTGCTCTGTCAGCACTCTCTCACCTGGTGGCAAACATGGCTCTGAGCGAAGAGAAGGTGGCTGCATCTTCTTTCAGGGCCTTCAGCTCATTCCTCAGCTTTGTCATTGTTTCCGTCACCCTGGACTTTTCATTTTCATACTTATTTTTCAAGTTTGCAAGAGCAACTTCTGCAGTCTGAAAGGAAGCACAGAACATCACCCGTCATTATTTCAGAGCTATGACATGTCCGTCCTTAAAGAGCAATTATGAGGAACAAGTAAGATCAGTGAGTTGCAAATGTTATCCAGAAAACAGGGCAACTGGCTCAAAGTCACTTTGTCTGGAGCTTTGCAACTAAATAGGACAACTTGCTCAATGAACTCCTGTGTGGGACTGCTGCCTCTGGTTATATGACTATACTATACTATTACAGGACCTTACCTGTTAGGACTACAATCAATTATCAGTTTGAAAAATTATTAGCCTGAGAATTTTCAGAGAGAAATACCCAAGCAGTCCTCTGCTCTATCAGACAAGAGAAGAAATGTGGAAAAAAAAAAACTCTAATCAGCAAACGGACCCCTAGAATATGGACAGTAATAGAATTTCGGTTATCAAGCAATATCAAGCAAACTGGAGTGTCCTAAAAAGGGAGTTTAGAGACCTAGGTGCTAGGATTTAATGGCTCCCCTTCTCTCAAATGGGGTGGGAGGGACTGTCAGATGCAAGCAACGCTAATTTTCATAGGTATGATCAACCTTAGCAGAAAGCTTTAAAGAAGAACTCCTAGCATATTAAACATTAACCCTTGAAGTGGGGCTACCCCTGCATTGCAAGGGTTAACTACGTTTTGGTCTAAAACACAACATTTTACTCACCAGATCCTCAGTCCCGCCTGGCTGCTAGAAATTCGCAGCCTCTTCTCCCTCAGGCTCTGGTGGTCTAAGGACGTGTGACATCATTACGTGCCTTCACTTGCATTGGACATGAGGATACCAAGGAACATTCCATAGCCGGAGTGGAGGGGAAGAGAGGTAAGTGTTCACTGCCGAGGCCGAGGATTGGGTGGGTATATATTTTTTTATGTTAGACTAAAATGAGCACTTAACCCTTGACCCCTGACTGGAAAAGACATCTTCAAAATGTCATGGATTTCCCTTGTGAAATATCTAGTGGTTTGTAATAATGGAAAATTCTTTACAGTACCTAAAGTTAGGGAAAGGGTTCAAATCACAGAATTAAAGGTTGAAATAGGTATGTAAATTCAAACAAAAATTCAAACCGCTTGCCTGTAGACTAAATAGAGATAGGAAAGTTTTTTTGCTATTATCTAAAAGGATCAAATAATCAACTTTCTGGACCTCTGGAAGTGAAGCCTGTTTTCCTTCAAGTCTTTGATCAAAGGTATATGAACATTTTAAAAGGACTCTCATTTTTAAGAAGTCACTCAAGATTCAGAAGTGTTCCTGGAATTATCTCTAAGTTAATTATAATAATAATACTGCTAAGCACTAATCTTGTGCATATGTTTATAGCGTCGCCCTTTAAAGTGGATATAAAAATAAAAAAACAAAAATTGCTGGGGGGTCAGGATTTTAGTTAGAAGACAAATGCAAAGTCTTGTCTGCCAAAAAACGCCTTTCTCTTTCCCCTGGCAATTTTTTATCTTCTTTGTACATTGTATGTGCCATGTATTGTACACACTCAGACCATTCACAGTACTTCAAGTTGCTGTGAATGGGCCAGGTGCCGGGGAGGATGTATATCCTGTTCACATGTGCAGGAGTTGCATAATCAGGGGCCACCCAATGAATGAACAGGATGACTGGGAACCCAGAGGTAGCAAATGTGGAGATGGCGGCAGCAGAGGACATAGAATGCATTGCACTACGTTGGAGAAGGGCACACTTGTAAGGTAAGTGTTCTATAAGGGTTTGCACATTATGACAAAAACCCACTCAGTATTTAGCAGTTTACTCTATACTACTCAAATGTGTCAAGAAAAAATAGTTGTATTTTATTAATGGTTGTATTCAAAGTAGAATTAAACTCTCTGTTTTTGCGTATATCTACTGCTAGCAAGCAGTAGACATATGCAAACAGATTTAAAAAAATAAAAAAGTTACCAAAAAGGTAAAAACTTACCTGTGTCTCCACCGCTCACTCCCATCTGAAGATCTGAAGCTTCTCGAGCAGCCGTGCAGGATGACGGGGCGGGCGCATGCGCAGTACAGATCTTCGGTGGGGAGAAGAGAAGAGACACAGAGGAGGTGATTGCACGCACCCGGGAGCGTGCACATCGGATAGACACCGCGGGACCCAAGAAGTCTGCGCTGGATCAGGGACCAGCATCAGCGCTGGAGGGACTGCTGAATACAAGAGGAAGGCAGAAGTTGATCGGATCAAGAGACATCATTTAAGGTAAGTTCTTAAAGCAGCATGAAGAGGAGGAAACAATTTGTGACTTTAATGTCACTTTAATTGCTCTTCTTTGTAACTATGTGTATGTGAGATTCCAGAATTTATAATTGTAAAAAAGTTTAAAAAGATACTTAAGAGCAAACTCCAAACTTTGTAGATCCAAACTGAACTACAATTAAAAAAAAGTTCAAATTCTACCCCAAATTCATTAAAATTCGCACCACCTCTTCAGCAACAAATGAAATCTTCAGTGTGACTGCCACCACCACCATCTCTCAGATGGAAAACCCACCAAAAATTGTTGGCCCTATATCCATAGAAAGGTCAAACATGCATGTGTTGCCCATCCAGGAATGGGCTGGCTTCAAGCTCCAAACCACTTCTGTGAATCTTGGCTGCCACTGCAATTGCGGTCACACATTACCTTACAGTAAGCAAACAAAAGGCTCCTCATAGCATAATAAGCTCAAGTTTATTAAAACCTAGTTTTTAATAAATTGAGCTTATTAATCTATATGAGGCCTTTTGCCTGTTTAGTCCGTTCCTGAACTTGTAATATTACATGTGAATTTGACCTTCTATGCCATAGGGGTCAACTGTTTTTGGTGATTAGGAAAATAAGGGAAATAAGGGAAGCACAGATTTGTTTAAATTGTTGTTGTGACGGTAATGAGGTTGTAGCACCTGGATATTATTTTGAACACTCCATTTTCACCATATTTTGCTGAAACTCTTAGTTCAAATTCGTAGGCTGCCCTGACACTGATGGATTAAATTTTGTTAAGCCTGTTAAGCCATCTCAACATCCAAAGTAAGCAGATATCTGCTAATCTGGGCCTGTGATATTCATACTCCTTAGCCCTAATTATTTAAGTGATGTACCAGGCATACCCTCATAACCTTTTTATGGCACCCTTAATGAAAAGTCAACAGCCAGCAATTGACAACCTCAGCTAGAGATTGCCTGGTTTGATAACGAACTAACTGACCTTTAGTTCAACTTCGGTCATGAAATGTGAGTCCCAACACCACCTAATTTCCATAACTCAGAACCGGAGAATGATAGTGTAAATTGAATTGCATAAATAGCTAGGGCTGCAACTAACGAATATTTTCATAATCGATTAGTTGGTCAATTATGTTTTCGATTAATTGATTAATCGGATAAAAAAATGCCATCTTTTATTTAAAATAAAATACACGAATGCAGTGTTCCAAACATAAGGTTTACTTCAGAATAAAACTGCAAGCACAATTTTTGCAATCGCACAGCAATGGAATGCACAGCATTGTGGAACCGCGTGTTCCAGTGCGGGTGATTGCACTGCAGGTAGGAGGCGTGTTTGGGGTGCCATTGAAATTAATGTTACCACAGTGCACATCCCGCAGCAGAATTTATCAGGCCGCAACCAAAAATTACTTTTTTCCCACCTTTTCAAAAAAAATGTAAATAATTTTTTGTATTATACTTGATATCAGTCTTATATATTTAAAATAATCTGCATTGAAAAACTCCAAACCAATATAATAAAATAACCAAACTTTTAATAAAAATATAAAAGCTGGGTCATTAGTTTAGAGTTAGCCATGAATATTGGTCTGATAAAAAAAACTTCAATAGATTACCTGAGGAATGTAAATACAGCATGCAGTGGCTGGGAGCAATATTCAGCCTGCTATTGGTTATTTTAAATCGCAGCCAATAACAAGCTGTGTATTGCACCCCCCCACACTGCCTGTTGTCAATCAACAGAGAAGGGACCTGAAAGGGAAAATTCTCCAACAGGTCTTCCTCTGCTGATTGACAGGAGGCAGTGGGCAGGTGCAATAGCCAGCCTGCTATTGGTTATTTTAAATCGCAGGAGCCAAAAGCAGGCTGAGTAGTGTACCCCCACCCCCACTGCCTGCTGTCAATCAGCATAGAAGGGACCTGAAAGGGAAAGTTCTCTATCAGGTCCTCCACTGCTGATTGACAGAAGGCAGTGGGCGGGTGCAATAGCCAGCCTGCTATTGCAATTTTAAAATAGCTAATAGCAGCATGCTATTGTTTTCAGCCGCTGAATGGGAGGCTTGTTGCCAGCTTTCTACCGCCGGCTACAAGTCTTCTATCTGGTGGGGGCACGGGGGCAGAGAGGGACACAGCGGTGGAGGAGTAGGAGCATGGTGGCTAACGGGACGGGTGGCACGGAGGAGCATGGTGGCTAACAGGACGGGTGGCACGGAGGAGCATGGCGGCTGACAGCATTGACACAGGGCAGAATGGGGGCTAACGGCAGTGACGCGGTATCTCCTCCCCACCGGGCACCGACTGCAGCAGTCTGTGTCCCACATGCAGCGGCTCGCTGTGAGGAGAACGGAGAGCAGAGCAGCGGCAGGGGAGAGGGTTGAGGCTGGAGGGAGATCAGGTTATGGAGCTCTCCTAACCACTGGGCACTGGCTGCAGAGGTCTTTTTTTCCCTCTCATCCCTGCTGGGAGCAGCACCGATCAGAAGGGACACAAAGCCCATGAAACAACCAGTCCTGCAATCAACTAATCGATAATGAGAATCGTTGACAACAGTCTCATTATCGAAAATTATCAATTTAATCGATTAGTTGTTGCAGCCCTATAAATAGCTAGTACATCTCGTCAAGAGAAATCCACACATATCAATCATGTGGTTACTATACTCCTCCTAGGCCAGTCATAATTCACACCCATGTCAAACTTGGGGTTGATCTGAAGCTAATTTCACGAGGCACAATACTTTAGGGGTTATCAGACAGTAATAAGT